CTGGGCCTTCTTTTCTAGTTCTATCCAATTCTTGTTCATTTTTCTCATGTCTATTTCCATTTCTCGGCTATGTAACAGGAACAAAACCAAATTATGTCACACTGATATGGTAACAAATATGAAAAGTAATTTCAACATGCACTATTTTTGTATAAATGACAATTTCTCGTTATTATCCGATTAGTATGATTACAGTTCAATGTAAAGTTGATTGAATGAATAACTGTTTTCTGTTACGCTAATGTTTGAATTGATCTAAATAATGGACGTGTGTTGTATTCTTTTTTTTATGTAACTTAGTTGGTCAATTTTAGTTTTAAGTAAACTATTCCTATACAGTTAAAATAAAGCGTGTTATTTCAATTTAGTTTGGAGTTTTTTTTCACCTCACACAGGAGTATTAACTTGAGAATAGATGTTGCATTCCAGTACTCTTCCAAAAACACTACATGAGGGAGTTTTATATCAAGATCTTAGAGACGAAAATTTGTAGTCAACTCAGTGATCTAAATTTGTCGTGTTTGTCTTGTGAACTGGACATCCATGGACTAAAGAGTTACTATCAGCTCTTTGATTCTGTTTTTATTATCTGTCTATTTTTCGAATGTTTTTATGTAAAACTTATCTCCACAAGTTAACCCATCAAACATTTATGTCCCAACCAATGTAATTTGCATTTTCATGGTAACTGAACTCAAAATATTGTTCATCAATGAAGATAAAATAGTTATAGAAAAACATGTGTCTCCATCTTCCTTTTTTACTTCCGTGTTATGCCCATCTTAATAATATTTTTATCGATTGTTAATCTTATTAATAATTCATTCATTCATCAAGTAAAGATTTGTGTACTTGCCTTCGTGTCACACTAATATGCATTAGAGCTAGTGATACTACTCGATTGCTTAAATCGTTTTATGCAGAATTCGACTATATTACGTAATAAGTATTCAGCCTTTTTTTTGTTTTGTTTGTTTTTTCCGCAGAAAATTAAGATGTAAATAAAGAATAGTGAGTTGAAATAATGACATTTCTCTTCACTTTCACATGCAGTACTTATTACAAGGTTAATGCTATACTTTAAACTATGGTATTATCTTGAACAAAATTGATCATGAGTATTATTGAAATGTAAGCTGAAAAGCGATCTATTGACTATAAAGAAAATAACAATGATTATAATGCTGTCTTTTTTAAAATATTCAATAATGACTACAATCTCACTTAAGTTAATAATGTTTTAAGTCCACTACTAGATTACGGCTAATACGGCAAACAAATTCGGCACTTGAAAGTACAGAACCGATAGGTAGTAAATCGAAAAAATAGAAAACATCAAGAGAAGTATTTTCTGGGGTAATGATAGAAAATTTACTGAAAAACAGGTGCATATATAGCTTATATAATTGATCAACTAGAGCATGCCAAGTTGACATTCTAGAAACTTCTGATTATATTGAATCTCTTCGGCCTCTTTAAAGCCTCTGGAGGCTTCGTCGCGTCTTCTTGAGTCCGTCCTAACAATTTGAAAGCAGGAAAATAAAGTTACCTATAACGTTAAAAAACTAGAAAATTAACGTAGCCAAATAATTTTAAATGGGTTTTTGTTTGTGTAAATGATGTTGTTTAGAAAATCAATGAAAGCTCCATGACTAAATCATTCAGATCAAAGAACGAAACGACTGAAATCTTTTAAATTTTTTTATTAATGTGATTTAGATCAATAAAGCGGATGTGTTTAGAAAAGAGATATTAAATAGATATCATAAATCAGTCAATTGAAACTCAATAATCTCCACAACTCTACTGAGAAATTAAATAATTAGTTGTTATATGACAGATCTGTAGAGATTAGAAAAATCCTGAACCAGTTTCCGTTACCCATTGATTTGGTTATAACCAGTCTTGGTTGCACAGTTCGGAACGAAAATGAAATAGTAAACTCATGGGTCTACAGAAACGTAAAATAAATTTCAACTGAAATTGATCAGTATCCCATATGTGACTTTAGACCCAGCATTTAACAATTGAAAAAATAGAGAAACTAGAACTAACAATCCGATACCCTGTCTTTTCTCAACCCATTCGGATCAAGTTCCGTAGTTTATTTCATGTTGATTGAATCTTGATATATAAAGTACTGTTTTCCACTTCAATGGTGTAAATTTTACACTCTCCCTTCGGTATCAAAAAGTCACATTTTTTATCTCTGAAGAGTCAAGTGTTTTAACTGTTAAGGTTTCCTGAACTAGGATGACATAGCTACATAGTACTTCCAAGATTTCAGTGGTTCATCATTTGGTATCAATTCATGGTGCGTACTGACTTCAGAGTAATATTTAATTTACTTTTCTGTATGACTGGGGTGTATTTCAAATGACTGTTAATTGCACTTTAATACCATGATACAACAGTTTCTTCTCTTAGACCTGACTATTCCAAAAGATAAATCTTTTAAAACAATTTTTTCATTAGATTTCAAAAAAGACTATTCTTTACGTTATAATTCATTAGATTCTACTCTGTTCACATTCAGTGATCATTGGTTAAAGTATTTGTTAGATTGAAAAACGTGTTACTTAGACGATGACCACATTGAACTAATTGATATAACGAAAGTGCACTGACAGTCACTTGAATGAAAACACCTTAAATTAATATATGGTCTTATAAACGATTCAAACGGTTCAAACATACATCATCCAGCTTCACAATCTGAGGTGTTACCAGTGGACTATTCAGGCCCGCTAATAACTTTTCAGAATTCAGGTGAACACTTAGATGATCACCATTTTGTTTTTGGTTTTGTGTTACATTTCTTCAGCCACAAAAATAGTCTTGAGTTTCTTTTGTAAATTCGACGTATAGGTTGTTTAAAATATCTGTAAACAAGAAATTTAGGAAACATATTGTTGGATCTATTTAAATACTGAAATGATATATAAGATTCTAACATTTTATTATATAAAGGTTGTAAACTTTCATTATTTGAGTTATTTAAAGATATGTATTATTAGTTACTTGGTCATTATCTACGTTGATGCATTATACTGCTGGTTGATAAAAGCTTAAAGATGACCAGTTATTGATTTTTCACTAAATATCGTTCTAAGCTTCATCAGGAAGTACGCTCTCTGAGTGTGAGTGACGATTATAACGTTACAAATATGTGTATATATATATAAATTATCTGTAGTTGTGGATAAAAGAAAGTATTTATTCTCTAAAATGTTCTGTTAAATATTAATCAGAATGGGGATTTTGTGGAGTTTGTAGTAATTTTAACAGTTGAATTCACAATTCGATCTAAGCCAGACCACCAATGAAAAACTGGAAACAGTAGACGGCCATTTCGTTGTGAAATATCGTAGGTTGGTTGAAGTTAGACGTTGGCACCGTTGGATGTCGGCTTGTTGGTCTATAGGTACCTGAGTTACAATCTCGCGTGCAGGATACTGACAGTGCATTATTGTGAAGTTCCACACTAGAACTAAACGACGGTCCAGTGCTACCAGTTATTAAAAAGTTGTCTAATATTAATCGACTCATGATACTATTTAAGGATTAGATTTACCTTCCCTAGTCTTTCAACCAATCAGTTACTCATAGAGAACAATCATCTCGTCAATAACAATTCGTTGAAAAAAGTTTTAAATTACAGAATGGGATATTTCCTAAATTTAGGTTTGAATCAACACATTTTTTTCACTGTGAACCATAAATATTTGAGTTTTTGATATCTTATTTACTTTCTAACTTAACAGCGATCTTCGATTAAGTGTTTAGTTTACTTATTAATTGGTTGGAAAAAAACAATAGAATTTGCCTTCTTCCTTTCATCTTGGTAAAATTTCTTTTCATGTTTTTCAAACCAAAAAAAAATTTCAGAACACTTTAGATCTTCACTACTATCTTTGTCTTCACAGATAATTATGTTATAGAGACATTATAATGATGAAAAGATATTTCATTTTAATTTAAGTATAATGTCCGAATAAAGTTAGACACGTGTCATGACATAAAAAACTGTATATAAATATTCAAAAATGTAGTCATGACAACGGTTAATAATTGCCTTATTTACATTTATAATCATCCCTTCATTCATAATTACAAATGATCCTATGTTTTCTTTTTCCATTTTTCACGAATATGAAATCAGAATATCTGTTTTCACTTGTCATAAGTATAAAAATACACACAAACAAAACAGACAAAATGCATTTAGTTATACTAACAGGTTTTGCCAAGTTTTAACCTGTTGACAATTGAAAATATCTTTGTATTTTTTATTCAAAACAAACTTCTTTTTTTTACTTGCTTGTCATTCATGATTTGCACAATTTATTGTTCATTTTATTTACACACTGAATTATACTAATAACTTAATTGTTTGTGAAACATTGTCAGATGTTTTGCTTATAACTAACCATTTAAATGTAAAAACTCATTTATTCAATGTTTCACAGATTTGTTAATACTTATTCATTAAAACAAAGAAATAAACTTTGATTTTGTTTTATGCATTTAAGCTTTAAGCACATTTAAATCATACACAAATATTCAATGTTTTATGTCAGTATAATATTTACTTATTTGTTTTACTGAACCATCTTTAATTCTCTGTAACCGGATTGGTTAATTTATTCAATGTCAATTATATATTTGGATATGAATTCAAAGCTTAAAAACTGATTGATAGATTGATAGACAGGCCAATATACTAACTTATACATAAACATACTACTAATAACATTAAAATATAATAAAAAAAAACAGTATACAACATGATCACAGTAATACTATCAATAGAATTAGATTAGGTAATATTTACAATACTGATGATCTCAATTTTAATTGTCATATTCATATTTATATACTCATTCTTTTCTTTTTTCTTGTTTTCTTTCTTTGAATGACCGTTTAAAATGTACAACTGATATATATATACATATATATACATATATGCATATTTTTTTCTCTCTCTCTCTCTCAAAAAGAAAAAAATAATTATAGCATACACACAAATACCGAAAGTATATAAATGTTGAAGAAATGAAAAGTGAAAACGGCAAAAAATTCCTCGATTCTACTGATCATAATAATTTCAGTCAATTAACAACTATTGAACAAGATACTCAAGTAAATTATCACACTTCTTATATTATATAAGTTTTATTTCTACTTATTTTTGTATATATATGTATATATATCTCTTTATATTCATTAATTCAATGGTATAATATGTATTATAGTAGAATAGTTGTCAAGCTCAATGATTCTCCGAAAATTATCTATATAGTTACTAAGTGTTTAACTCTCGATAAGCTACTATACAAACGATATTGACTTTCGAATATATATATATATATATATATATATATGTTTACAAGTCCTCTTCAATCAGAACTTCTATGATTTCGTATACAAATCGTGATGAAGGAATTCAAACTATCCAGTTAACATTAAATATTTAGATCATTGACCGATAAATGATTCTTTTAATTTCAGCTTTATACAAATAATTCATCGTATGGTTATCGGTAATAGTATTTAATATAAAAATTATTGACTAACAAAATGCATAATCTGTTGATTGAATACAAATCGGGTGTTGCACAAAAAAAGTAATTTAATAATCGAAACCCTAGTTCCTCATCTCATAAACTGTAGATTATTAAGAGTTCATAACAGATATATATATATGTCGGTTGAATAGTGGGGACATTGAATTATACAACTTTTCTCCACAAATATAGATTAGTTTTATTTTACAATCTGTAAGTTGTTTCTTTCAGCTCCAGTCTTAAATATATTTGTTCATGTATAATCAATAGATTAGTCACTTAGAATTAAATTAGCGGATACAATTCTACACACCATAGCCACTATTTTGATTAAACCGTCAATTATTATTTTGTATTTGTTTCAATAAATTTCATTTCATTTCATTTCTGTGTATATAACATTGTCAGTAATTAATATTGCGCCTGTTTAGAGACTTTTCAGCAAACATATTGTATATATTTTGTATAAAATTTGAATGATTAAAAGGCAGTCCTTACTCAACATGGTCGTTTGAATTTCATTTGTAATTAAGTGTAGTTTAGAACAACTACTGAAACTAGGTATATTGTAGATGAATGTAGAATTTGACATTGATAAAAAACAATTGGATTTCTATGAATAATTAAAACGAAATAATAATCATTCATAATTTTTTTATTTGCAACGTTTTAAATATGTAACTGGACTAAGATATCATGGTTTAGTATAAATCGGCAATGGTTTAAAAGAAGATAGTGTGATAATCAAGTTATCATTTTAGAAGTGATAACATCAACTGAAGTATTAGTGTAAGTTAAAACCATAGTACAGACATGATTAAGTTTTGAATTGTGTACCAACATGGTTACGTACAACCAAAAACTCATCATTCAATAAACTTAGGTTAATCAGGTTTCTTTGAGAGTTGTCTAGTACAGATTGATTAAGATTTGACTCGTTCAATCGCTTAACACTCAGGGAGAAAAAAATATGTAAAAACGTTTCTTTGCAATACACTCGAATTCCTTTAAATTTCTTACGTCATGTTATTTTAAACCGAGTGTAGTTAAACAAGGAGAATTACAACTTAGAATTAAATGCCTAGAATCTTTAGCTATTTATGCATAGAATAAGTCAGTTTAACAATTTAGAAAATCACATATTTTTTATATTCCAACATATTTAAAGGTTGAATTTCTGACGTTTCAGATAGGTTTCTTCTTGATGTAATTTATATACTATGAAATTCTACTACTCTGAATGAAAATGTACGCTTCACTATTCAACTATTTTGAACAATTGATCAAGGCAGTTAGTACAACCTATTAATAATCACGCTCCAAACATATGTACTAGTACACTCAGTAGATACCACAACAAATTTCTTTTTTACGCGTGTGTGTGAACATACATGCATACATACATAAATAGTTACTCAAAAGTGCACAATCACATGAACGCCACAGTGAAAAGAATATTGTTCACAAATATTCATTGCTTTAATTTATATAATGGAAATGTTTAATATTTAGAGAGAACAAAAAACACTCTTTTCACAGAATTATATCTCAGTTGAATAACATGAGAATATCATAAGTGGACTTGTTTAAGTGTTCGACTAGAACTCAGTTATTATTTTTTTTACCATGTAAATTTGTACTGATACAGAAAGATTTTAATCGTTTATAGCTTTCTAGCGTACTGAACATACATATATGAATAAAGATACTTTTTATTTATTCCTTAAAGGATGGAAACTCATACTTACTTGGAAAACGTTTGAAATCCAAGTTTCCTGTTCCTTACAATATTTTACAGATATATTACTAGTTTCATCTCTGATTTATAATTTCAAACGATCTATTCAATAGTCAGTTTATTTGAAACTATCAAGTCAAATATTAATGATAATAATAATAGTAGTAATAATAATAATAGTATTTATCAGTGAATAATCTAAGAACACTATTACTGGTTTCTTACCACGATACACTTATCAAGAATAATGATCTATAATGTGTAATTATATTGTATACATTCAATAAATCAATTAGGATAGATTCCTAAATGTCGAAACATACGAATTAATGTATGTATATATATATGTTAATATATGGTTTCTGGTCTATAAATGCCTTAATTGCTAAATACTTGAAAATCCAGTCAAAACAAATTATGAAAGAGTGGATAGTTTTCGTTGAACATCATGATAATTTTGGAGCGAAATAAATTTGTAGTTACCATAACATAAATCTTTGTTTTATCATTAGAGGAAAGTTTACTTTTACTTTTAAAAGTCCTACAGATGATATATGTCTCTGTAACATTATATCACTATTGTAGACTGTTACTGAAGACATCATTTACTAATGCCAAGTTGATCAGTAATACTTCAATATGATCAAGATAATATAACTTAATAAAAATGAATATCACATTTAAATTCTACGGTTAACTGTATGAAAACTGCAATCAATGTATTGGTATATGACCCCAATAACAGTATGACGAACCATATAATATTGACTACGGCAGACATACACCTCATATTATTCCCAATAATAATAACGAGTTAAATTTATATTGATTGTTTATTTCTGAGACAATTTGTGTAACCAAAACACAAATATCGAACTACCATCATCTTAGTAATTTAGTAAACAAATTAACATTTCAACTTTGTTATTTAATCGCATAAAATACAATTCATTTATCATTACGATTACTACGAAATTTCAAATGTAGATTTATAAGTATTAAGTGGTGATTAATATGTATTATATTTGTAGAAAACAACCGAATTCCAGATAGCACTGAACAGTTGATTTGCTTTAGTATCTAGGTAATGAGAAGTGTACATTAGACACCTTTCACAGAGTGATCAGCACTGAATCTTTAATATAATGTTGTAATTTTTATATTGTGAATTGATTACTCAGTAGTCATATATATATATATATATATATATATATATATATATATATATATATATATATATATATATATATATATATATATATAGTGGAACCCTATTACGTGTTGGATTTCACTGAACTGCATATTCTTCCTAACGTAAGTTAATTCCAGGTATAATGTGATCTTGATCCAAATCATATATTTGTTTTCCAGCATACAACTACAATTACTTGACTTAATGTAACACGGGGACTAAACTCCATCTAATGAACTCTATCTGAATAAATATTAGTAATAAATATTATTTAGTAATAATAATGCTTATCTTAATAAGTAGTTAGCTTAGTCAAATACTCTTCATTTCGTGGAAAATATAATCCTCATCACGAAAAAGTCAATATTTTGATTGACTAATTGATTGACATTGTGATGAATTTGATAAACCTCTGATATTCATTTCAGCATCGTAAATAACAGTGGCTAAAGAGTTTAAAATTAATATCAATATATGTCCTGTACTTCTGTCTTTACAATTCTTCCCAGTTAGTCGATAATTTATCGTACATCTTTCAACTCACTAATTTAAGATAATCTCCAGAATAGTGGATGTGATTGAACAAGATGCAATTCGTTGTTCTTTGATCGACACAGTTATACGAAATGATGAGAATTTTATAATACAGTATATGTAGCTTCATAGTTGATTTCATACATTGTTTTCCAATGATTGATCTAAATAAAGTAAAAAAAATAGATCTTAATAGAAGAATATAAGTTTCATCTATTTGAAGAAATCTCACTTGACTGAAAAAAAAACTGACAATTTGAAAAGTAAATGAATCCACATAATTCTGTTATGAACATTGTTCTACCCACTATACATAGTATACTTTGAACATTAAAGGATTCTGTATAAAAACCGAACTAGAATGGGTTAGCTGTTCAGTGTTGTTTGGAAATCAATTCTTAAATTCTTTTCCTCCAAATTGTAATTTCAGACTTTTTAGTTCACTCTATCTAATATCAGAGTAGAATAAGGTAAAATAAAAATGATACAGTAAATTCTAAACCTTCAATTTGTATTCTACATTCACAATATGTCTAACAGATAAGGTTTTTCATAACGTTTTCAATGTTGAAACATTTCTATGTCTAGTACTTTAAGTCATTTTCTCGTCCATTTAATGGGTAAGCGTTGCCTCTAAAAAGTGTAATTATCAGTAGAGATATCACTTTACGCCCAAACTTGCACTACATTTGTGTTTATTCTGTTATATGTTGGATCGCACTATACTAATGTGTTTATACCAAATAGCTGTATATAAATCCAAATTCTCTCAATGAAATATTTAGTGAAATATGCATTTAATGTACAGTACCCACGTACTAAATGAACAAAAAAGTCGCCATATTTGCTGAAAATATTATGAATCACTTTAGCCAGTCTGAATGTTATATGATAAGTTAAATGTGAAAATTCACTGCATTTAACTGTAGATACATTTATCTTGAGTGGAAATAATTTTTTGTTTTTTTTTATAAATACTGATTATTCAGTATGTGTTATGTGACCACGTAGAAACTGTAGTTGAACAAAAATTTCACCAAAAAATTGCTTACTAAACCAGTTTTCCATATCTGTTATCATTAATTAAACTAGACGAGTACTAGATAACACTTATGTTTTAGTTAATTTTCTATTAAAAATTAATTACAATCATGAAACTCAGCAAAGAGATCTCTTTTCTCCACAAACACTTTTTATCACTCTGTACAACCAATTCTATGAGTAATTATGAACAATGAATAAATACTTAATTACTTACTTACGCTTGTTACTCCTCGTAATAGAGAATAGGACACCTACCATGTTTCTCCGTAGAACTCTATCCTCGGCAATTTCTTCTAGTTATTCCCAGTTGCTGTACATCTTTTTCATGTTCGCTTCCGATTCCCGACTCATTGTGTTCTTTAGTCTTCATCTTTTCTGGTTCCCTTCAGGATTTTAAGTAAGCGCTGGCCTCGTGATATAGCTTGATGGTTTGTGTACTGTATGTCCTATCCACTTCCTAGATGTTTAGACTTCACTAAACACTTTATTATTGTTTTAATCTGTGAATAATACAACATATGACTGAACTAATTTTCATAAAAGCTCTTTATCTGAAATGTAATAGTCGGCTCACTTTTGACTTCGAGATATAATACGTTTTGATTAGTGGAGTTCATATGTATCTGAAGTAAAACAGTTGTCCCTAATGACAAGAAATAATTCCCTAAGCGAATCAGAAATTGATTAAAAATGGGGTTGTGCCATTACTAGACAGTGACCCAGTGGTTAAGGCTTCGCCTCGAGTCTGAAGATCCTGGGGCCGATCCCTAATGGGCTAGTGCCAGTACACTGCTGAACAGTCCCATTTCAGAATGAAACGTCTGTTTAGTGCTCCCAAATTTCTAATGATTACTTAACTGGGAGCAATCTGTAACGAATGCAGCGTACAAATTAAATCAATCTTCACCAAACCTTTTCAAAAAAATGGTCATTATTAAACAAAGGCATCACACTACTATCGGTACCAGGTAAAATTTCAAACAGAGTGTTGCTGAACCAGATGAAGAATTCAGTAGACGTCCAGCTTCGAGATCAACAATATGGATTCCGTAAGGATCAGTCGTGCTCAGACCAAATCGCGACACTACCGATGATCGCTGGACAATCAGTTGAGTAGAACTCGTCACTATACATCAACTTCATTGAATATTAGGGGGCGTTTGACAGTGTGGATAGGAAGACCTTATGGAAATTTCTTCGACACTATGGTTTACCTGAGACGATCGTCAACACCATCCGGAATTCATACGACGGACTGCAGTGCAAAGTCGTGAATGGAGGACAGCTGACGGACGTATTCCAGCTGAGGACCGAAGTCAGACAAGACTGTCTACCCTCCGCTTTCCTCTTTCTTCTAGTAGTCAAACCGATTATGGAGACCTCCACCTCCGAGGGAGAGCATGGAATACAATGGACAGCTTGGATTCAGTTAGATTATTTGAATTTCACAGATAATTTGACTCTTCTATCTTAAACACATCATCAAATGTAAGTGAAGAAAGTCAAGTTAGTGGCATTCTTTGCATCAGTAGGTCTAAACATACACAAAAGGAAAACCAAGATCCTCAAATACAACACAGAAACCGCCAACCCAATCACAATTGATAGAGAAACTCGGGAAGAGATAGAATCTTCCACGTACCTGGTCATCATCATCGATGAACAAGGATAATGTGATACAGACGTGAAGGCGAGGATTGGTGAAGCAGGGACAGCATTCGTATAATTGAGGAATATATGAAACTCAAAACAACTGTCAGTCAACATCAAAGTGAGAATCTTTAATACGAACGTCAAGATAGTTCTGCTGTATAGAACTGGAACTTGGAGAACCATCACAAGAGTTATCAAAATGGTACAAGTATTTATAGACAATTGTCTGCTCAAGATACTCATCATCTGTTGGTCAGACAACATGAGCAACAACTTCCTGTGAGAGAAAACAAACCAGATTCCAACTGAAGAGGAAATTAGAGCAATGGACAAATCAATTATAGATGTAATTATGTTTATATTTAAATAAATTTAATTATTAGAATTTCATTTTCTCACATAAAATTGCCAATACTAGCATTTAATTATGTATGGAATTGAATGAGCTTCATTTTCATAATATTCAATGTTCAATACATATCTGAATGCTTAGCGACACGTTTGCCTGACATGATACTACAATTATTTTTCTATTTGTACATTTCAATGTTTATTGAATTAATACACAGATTTAAATCAAATTAGTAAATACAAATTTCTCCGTTATCCTGTCCTAATAGTTTTTGGTTAAATTATTGAATTACTGAACGGTTTGGAGTTTTTTCATCCTTATTCAGCACTTTTATACCAAAAGAAATTATTTGCGATAGGAACATTCCTTGACTGCGATGTCAGGTGATCAGGTTTTGGGGATCCCTGTAAACAATCAATTCTTCATTGACCAGAATGTCTATAACTAACAACTGGGGTTTCTGGTGAGACTATAGTTAATCGACGACCTTTGAACGAATCTTAAGTGACCCTGAGATATATTAGCCAATCAGAAAACAGTATGGAGTAAAATTATATTATACGAAACCAAAAAATTAAAGTGGATACACTTCTCTTACATGGTTCATGTCCCTTTTGGGATGACTTGTCATAAATTCCAAGGACCTATGAGATACAGCAGTAATTTGATTAACACGGTCGCAAATAAAGGGACTTCTCAACAATTACATTTGTTGTATCCGCTCAATTATCACGTCTTCTCTAAAATCCGCTGTAAACCGATCGTACATGAGCATCAGGTACTGAATTTCGCGCCGTGACCTTGAAATCACTCAAACGCTCCTGATTGGCTCGTCCATAATTTATAATCTCGGCGTATGTATGTATGTATGAGGTAAATGATGCACATCAGGAAATTCAGAAGATATACCATCTGATTTTTTGAAGTGAACTGCTTTCTATCATTTCTGTAGTCTTTATTTTAAAGGAAATTTTGTTTACAATAAATATCAGTGTATTTGACAGTTTTAATTTTAATCTCGTTCGATTAGCTGATGAAAATCGGTAAATATCGTTTGAATTAACCGATTGACAATTGTAATGAATAGTTATACGTATAAATTTTCATTAAAATGACATTCATATTAAACGTAAATTGTAGGATTCAAGTATTCATGATTGATAAACTGTAGTGTTAACAGTAGTCATAACATTAGTAATGATAGTTTTATTCAGTACCATAAATTTTGTTACAATAATAAACTGTTAACACTGATTGTATTAACACTAGAACAACTTATTATGTATTCAAATTGTAATGATTTGGAAATATCTTTCATAGATCATTTCAATTATCACCCGATTACTGCTTATACTTTTACTACCTCTACCACTACGGGATTTGAATTGACAACTGCATCTCTGTGCTAATTTGGTATGGCAACTCGAACTGATGTACGTACTTAAGAAGTTCTACGATGCTACTGACTGACTGACTCAATTATCACTTCGCCGTCAATCTACAATTATGAAAGTTTTCGACCAGTTCAATTGTTACGCCTATTTTTTGGTCAGCCATCAAATACATTGATGATGCATAAACCCTGATATATTTGTCTTGGATTCTTACGAAGGATATATCAAGAGAAAAATGTACAAATAAGTGTATTGTTTTCATTACAGTTTTCTGGTATTTGGCATAGTAATAACTTTTAATGATAACAGCAATCTACTACATGCAGTTTGTCTGCATAAATATTCAGTTCAAATAAATCCAATACGTAATAGTTCATTATAGTATAATAAGTTGAAAAATGGATGATACAAAAGTTTGAATTGGCCTCTTCACACTTTCTATTCAAAAGAGTTAGCATGTGTTTGTTTTGTGATAAGCTTAATTCATTTGATCGTCAATTTTTGAATGTTTGTATCTGGATACTTAACTGAATAAAAAAAAGCACCTAGGAGCCTTTAACAATATAAATCGTTTGTCCATTAAATGAGCTTTCAATCTAGCTAAAGACTATCATACAAGACTATTGAAGATTTGATTTTATTCTTCTTGTAAATCACATAAATAACTTACCAATATTATTATTACTCATATTCTATAAGCTTTTCTTTAGTGCGAACATTACTTGTGTTTATTTTACAGTTTTCCAGTGTAGTACACATAATATTTCCAATTGGACATTTATAGATACTTAACTATATAAAATAAACGATTGAAATATTCCAATCAACATGGTTTTTGGAAAACAAAAATTATCTCAATTATTTGATTTTACCAAATTTGCTGCTGTAAGTGCAACAAACTTGAGCTAACTACTACTACTACTACTATCGGGATTAACTATAACACTATAACAATCTCATTACTTGAAAAGTTTTCATTTTTTTTAAAAAAGACTATTTTTCTCGGTTTGATAACACTTGAAAAGTATAACAACAATGAAAGATTATTTTATGCAAAGACAAAAACAACTATTAATCAATGTAAATTTTGTTATCTGTCAGTTCACTTAAACTATGAATCATTTCATTACAATACAGCATCTTTTAATCAATCTTATATGCATTGCTTACGCATATTACTCCTCGTGGAGAAGCATAGGCCTCCCACCAGCACTCTCCATCTAACCTTGTCTTGGGCAATCCTTTCCAGCTCTTTCTAATTGTTATTCATCCTTTTCATACCTGCTTCTAATTCCCGACGTAATGTGTTCTTTGACCTTCTTATATGCATAATAGAGATGAAATATCATCTTGTACAAGATCTACGAAACAATCAGACTACTAAAAATACTTATGACATATCTTCGTCGATGTATATTTAAAAAATAACGTTTCTTTATTATGCCTGTAATACATTAAACATGTATATGATTTTCTATCACAGCGAGAAACATAAGCAGAACAATGGGATCTTATCGTGTGAAGTTCAGTATGTTGGGTATGAGGAAAGTACTTACCTCAAACAATGGAAAGTAATTTCAAAATATTGAGAATCCGTTGAAATAAGAAATGTACACGATTTGATTCTGGCTCAGCACTCAAGAGTTTAAGCGTTCGAGTTCAAAACCAAATGTTTTTAGTTCGATTACTTGTGGATTCCTATAACAGGAATTGAAACAACTGTTCAGTACTTCAATTTTTTCACTAATTCTCTAACTTAAGTCGGTACATGATTTCAAGAACAAAAAAATGTTATGTTAAATAAATTAGAAAACTAAACACTTTTCTGTTATAACTAACTAACATCATAAAACTAATTCACATAATGAATTATATTCTTATTCTTATGGAATATATCATTTCATATTCTTACTGTGAATTTCATCAAATATCATAAATAATAATAGTCATTATTTTATTACATCCCTTTTACATTAATATCCATCAATTGAATTACAAAACTAGTCATCATTTTCTGTATGTTTATTAATAACATTGAATTCTTTCTGTAACATTCTAAAAAGCTTGTTTTTATTTACTGATAGTTCAGTTTCTTCGGTGCATGAATTTAACTTATGTATTAATCATTTTCAGAAGGGGTTTTGTGGAGATTTTTAGAAATTTCACTGGTTGAAATCATGAGTGAATTCAAGCTAGACCACCATGGAAAACCTGGAAGCACCGGACGGCCGTTTTGTCCTAGTATGGGACCCCTTCTGATAATAATCATCTGTTCACTAGTGACCGACTTCAATAGATACTCCTGGAGTTCTAGTGAGAAGCCGTTACCTATGGAGTTCAACCAGGTCGGTTGTGAGATATCAACTCACTGAAGACAATGGTGTAGGGTGGTGCAACTTCTTGGATTGGTTGAAGTTAGACATTAACACCATTGGATGCCGGCTCAGTGGTCCAGTGGTTAAGTGCTCGCGCGCGAAACCAGTAGGTCCTGGGTTCGAATATCTCAGGGGGCGAGGTCGTGGATGCGCGCTGCTGAGGAGTCCCATACTAGGACGGAACGGCCGTACAGTGTTTCCAGGTTTTCCATGGTGGTCTAGCTTCAATTCATTCATGATTTCAACCAGTGAAATTAATTATTTCTTATTTCTTCAGATTTATTAATAACAGTTTAAACATATCTGAATTTCACAATGATGTATATATATAATTGTCATAAAAACAGATATTCTAAATGCGTGAGACTTCAGAAAGCTTACAGTTTACGAAATTATGATCCAATAGCATTGTTAACAAAAATTTGACCACTATATTATAGGTTTACCAAATATTTCATTGATTGAGATTAGTACTCTATTTAGATTTTGTTCTGTTTGCCAATCATGAACTATAGATGATTAATTAATTTGATCACCTAAACGTGTAATTCAAAACCGAATCATTTACATATATGCTAACACTGAGTTATTTCACCTTTGACTGGACTAGTATATAACTTATGTTAGTCAAAGATTGTGTGTTGATTTCAGAATGTTGAGTAAACTCCATCGACCCTTTTCGGGATGTACTAAGTGAAATAACTTAGCCTTATAATCAGTCGTATTTCATATTATTTTATGAGAAAAAAAATGATCATCATAAGTATAAATACGTAGATTTTGTGTCTAGTTAGCTTGTAGAATTATGGTCTACTATGATATTAGTACTGCGCTAATAATACACCTAATCATAAAATTGTAGACTTGTCATGATATAACTGCCTAATCTATAAGATCTTACGTGGAAGTCACATCATCGTCTACAGCAACTCACTGCATCGTAACAATTACCAATACATGATGGAGAATAAGCTTAGGTTAGAGAAAGAACAATATATTTAATGTGAATAAAAGATATAAGGTAACATTCCGCAGGAACCACGCCTGCACGACTGAGCCATGCCATCCGATCAACTCCAATTAATTCAATTCCTTGTTCCCGCCTTTTCCATCGTTAGGTATTTCTCCGCGTGAAATAATGAATATCTATTTTCCGAGTAGTCTCGTGTTCAGCTTTGAGGATTGTGTAGTTATTGTCCAATGCCACTACAAGCTCTCTATTGAGAAAACGTATTTTGTACATTCAAAAATTACGTATTTACAGACTATGGTAAAAGAGTACCGTGAAGTCGTTAATAAAATATATTTTTTTAATTTTGTGTAGTAAGTATAATCCATGTAAATTTCATTTTCTCACATAGAATTGTCGTCAGTTCTCCCTTCTTTTTGAAAATTATTACTAATATGACTAATAGGGTCACGTGACTTGTTGTTACGTACTTCATAAGTTTATCTGTATGACTATTGAATGATGTAAATTTGCAAGATTTGCTTAGTATGTAAAGATGTGGTTTTTCACTAATATGTTGTTTATCAATTCCCTTTATGCATTATCATATGTTTTTGTGCATATACATCATTTTTTGTCTGAGTAACACGTATACATTCTTTTAAAAATGTACAATTCATGTTGATTATCTCAGTAGATTTAACTGATAGATTGTTTTACAGGTAGGTTATTTCTTCGTATAATTCAAGATTGTTATTACAATATTCATGGTAATTATTAACGTATTTAAATATGAATTGTAGTAGGAAACTGTTAACTGTAATGTTGATAATACAGCTAATAATAATACCAAGAAGTGTAATAACACGATAGTATGATGTACCAACACAAACACGTATCTCACTCTTTAAAGTAGATTAGAAAAAAAAAGCTTATCAAAAGTTACACAATACTCTTGGCTGAAGTATATGAATAAGTGAAGTGTAATGATAGTACTGAGAGAAGCATCGAATTGTCGTCAAGATTACAGATAAGACTTGCTGACAAGTGGCCACCATCAATTAGAATTGTAAGTATACAAATCCCTTTATCGATTTCTCCTATTTTACAATCAACTTCATTGAAGATAATGGATAATAGAAATGTAGAAGAAGAAGTTTTAAGTTAGAATACATTTTTAAAAGATATGAAATAAATAAGGACAAGAGAAATGTAGATTCAAATGGAATGACATAAAACAAAGTGATAAATAACATTAATTACTTTTATTCTATGAATTACATTTACGTTTTCCATTAAATAAAACACAATACAGTTAGTTATTGACTTGTATTTCGATAACTAAAGTTAATTTTGTATTCGAATTGTGTTTATCCGGTAAATTCCTTGTTCTTTTTTTGTTGTTGTTAACATTTACAAAGGAACAATGTACTCATATGGTATTGTTTGGCTTGTATCTTTTCATTGAGGTTTAAGACTGCAAATGATCAGTCTGTTATTGGCATATGTGCATACTATGTGTATGCCTCGATATTGCCTTAATTCACAAGCTTTTTGTAAGCAATGATAGATAGTGGCTAGCAGTGGAATCCAGGACGCGCGTTTCGTCCTATTTGGGACTCGTCAGCTGGATGTACCTGAATCTCAGAGTTGATGTTCATAGTTATCCGAAACAAACCTACTCGAAACGCTAGAATTATAAATCAATAGACTTATGACCAATCCGTTTCATATTTGTTTAATTTCTATCTAACTATCCATAATTCTTTATAAATAAATTTTAAAATTATTCTTTATTAATCTGTCTATGTTGACAACAATCTAAATGTCGTATTATCTAATATAATCAAGTGTTCAAATTTATATGCTACATATTAAAATGATATCTATCATACACAGTTGTAATCCAGCTGTTATGTGTTTTCTAAAACAAAATATCCATTAATAAGATAAGTGACATATTGAATGCATAAAAGTGTTGAAATCAATAGTTTTGAGATTACATTATGAACTTTATCAACAGTGGTTTAGAGGTCTTGATGTTACGCGTTTACCTGCGAGACTGAAGATCCTGTATTTGAATGTTGAGTGCAGTATTGTATATGTAATCTGATGATGAGTCTTACACCAGGGAGAAACGATCTTCTAATGGTGGTTTAACTTAGATTGGTTGGTGCTTTCAATGAAATTCAACATTCTTCACAACCTCATACTAAAACTTTCATTATCTTTGTAAGTTTTAGTGTTTTTCTGTTTTCACTTGATATTATGCTAAATGAAATGAATTTTTGTAGAATTAATTTTAAGTATTGAGAACTTCCTATAAGTAATACTTGAAGCGGCTTCCTCAAAAGTTTATGCTGCCGAATTTCCAGTCGTATAAATATTAAGGTGAACTTACCTATTTTACAATTGTTTGAACGGAATAATAATAATATAGTAATTTATATTTAACACAGTATTATGAAAATTTTACAATATATCACTATGTTTAAAACTGGAACCGAAAAGATGCATTTATTGAGATGTTCTTCTTCTCTATGCATTTTGAAAAAAGACAG